CAAAAACTGGAACAATGAAGTCTGAATATACACAAAAATGAAATCTTAAGTTCTTCATTCTCTTAAAGAACATTGTATAATTACATGCAATTTGAGAGAGGATGCAAATGTGGCTTTGATTTTAGACATATCCAAATTTAATCATATCCGAGTACTATGAAACCTCTTTAAAACTGTATTTAAACAAATCCTGCAATATATGTCATTATATACATAATGATGAAGTAAAAAAAAAAAAACACTAAGTTGAATTTATATTTTTGTAACCTTTAACAGCATCGTCTTTATTTAAACAAAAATCGTCTGCAGTATTATTATTTTATTTGTTTGATTGGGTTTTATATCACACCGACACAGTATTATTTTAAAAAGCAAAGTATCATCAAGGGAATGATTTTTTTTATTTCTATACTTATTGTTATAACCACGGTCAATTAAGAATGTCATTTGAAAAGTATTGTGATTATGATGTATATATATTTTGTAAAGTTGCAAAAATATCTTTAAAGGAAAGATTTAGCCTATTTTCTATAACATGTTACCATGGCAACCATGAAAACTGATGGAAATTTCAATGTATTTTTAAATATCACATTTTTGTATTTATTTCAGAGAAAACAAGAAGTCTTCGTGAAAAAACCCCAATGATTTTGGGCATTCAGTCATAAGAATTAGACGCAATCTTAGAGATGTAAATTTTAGATGAATTTAATTATACCCCACCCGTTTAAAATCATAATGCGTTCATAAGAAAAATGTCAATAAACATTAAAATGGTCATAAATGATAAGAGTTGAAGTTGTACTCTTGTAAAAAAGTACAATATGGAAATAAAAATTGAAATATGTTATCATGGAAATGAAAATTTATATCAAATTTAATTTTTAGGTTATTTTTTATACATTTTCCAAGATATTCTTTCAAATATTTTATATTTCTCCCATAAAAGTGGACAAAAACCATTTTATTTACGGTAAACATGTATTTTCTATAATATTTATATGTGAAGACAAAAGTAACTTAGAAATTCTTGAAAACATTGGCCAATTAATGATACTTACTGTTTTTGAGGAATTTTGGCGGCCATCCTGGACGCCATCTTGGATTTCTTGATTGTCCGACCATTTGGGTTAAAATGAAATATCGTTTCGTATTCTACGAACCCTTGTGAACATTTTGGTATATAAAACTTATTGTTCCTAGACATAGACTGGTTGACCCCCAAAATATGCATGATTTACTAGTTCATTTCCTACACTATAATTAAATACTTATCAAAATTGTGCTTAATTAATAGTGTTACTTTGAAACATTTCTTAGATCAACATATCATAAGCTTTATTTTGTTAATAAATTATTACAAAAATAATCATTCAATTAACAATTTAGTAGTTTGGTTGTCTTGTAACATAATGATACAAACACAAATACAAATAATATCAATAAAGTTAATAACCCTGTGCTTATTGCAATTACAATATATCAAGTTATGCTTGTTTTGCGTATAAAACCAAATACATACTGCAAAGAATTAAAGATTATATAAGATTTAATCTACATTCTAAATTTTGTTTGTTCTGAAATAAATAAATTTCCTTCATGTATAACAACATAATGGATCTAACATTTTGCACGTAAATTATTATTCAACCTTAGCTACGTTTGAAATCATTTTGGTAAATTGATAAATTGATTTGGAATGATAATATACTATTTTTCAGTCAAATGTTATTTTCGACTTGACAATTATAATTTAGATTGTAAATAAATCATTATTAGAATCAAAATAAGTGCTAACAAAGCTCCTCCTCATTTTAATATGATAGCATTTTGATTAAAATTTAATTCTCTTCTGACCTCAGCATGTCGTTTACTCTTAATCACTTTCTCTGCGCTTGAAATAATGCACGGAGGGGCGATGTCTTCTTCAGTCAGTGAAGCTTGAAAGTCGCCATAAGACATTTAAAGTGCCAGTGTCATTTAAGGTAGTCGGTTACTTGCATTTACCAGTACCGTGCATGCAACATTTTCAATGCCGTTTTGGGCTATATGTAGAGATTCCGTTTTTTTTATCTAAAGCCAATCAAAACTGATGGATAATTGTGGGTCATTTGGATATATGTATAAGACATATATTATATTTTTCTATTGTGATATCAAACAATCGTATCATTTTAGATGTTATCAATTTTATATCTTTACAGCAAAACATTGAACAAATGTATCGCAGATATAAGTTTGTCAATAACTAATTGGTTTGTGCGGTTGAATGTTTTGCACACTAACGTTAATAAATGTTTTGATTAAGCACACACAAAACATGCCTTATAACGCATTAAGAATCTTAATGATGAAATATATTTAATCTTCATGAGAGACATTTAGATTGTTATAGAATTGCGGTTTACCAACACAACGTTAATAAACCATAAAATTGACAAAAAACGACATGTATATTTTCAATTAAATAACAAAAAAAACTTTTATCGTATGTCATAAACATTAAACACGAATCTTTATATTGTATAACAATTGATATCAAACTCGTATAACAAAAAAAACGTTTATCCACTTACTTTTATCATTCAACACGTTTTTTATACAACTATTTAATTTGAACATCCAATACATCAAACAAACATTATCGTTATTCACTTTTTTACATTTACTTCCCCGACACAAAACATTTATCAAAAGACCGCCTGCAATAACCGTTTCACATTTTCTTAAGCATATCCTCTTGGTCATCTCTGTGTTTTGAAATATACTTGTACATTATAAAATCTGACTGGAGATCTGTAAAGACATACAAGTTCTATATAGTCAAAAAATACTGTTTCTAAAAACTATAGCAGATTATTAATATTTATAGGGTTTTTTTTTCGTAAAAAGAAGCCATTTGGGTGCTTTATGTTCTGCGAATGTCTGCGCTAAAACCCATTTATAGGCATACTTGTCATGTGTCCATACAAAGTCTTAAGAATAATTTGACAATCACTTTATAAAGGTGGAGCGATAGCTCAGTTGGTTAGACCACTGACTGTCACTTCTGAGGTTCCGGCTTCGATCCTGGGTAACACTCTTGGGATTTTTCAGAAACACTTTCGGTGTTTCCCACCTTCCTAGAGGTTTACTGGTAATAAATCCAGGTAATCCTCGCATGTCTGAAGAAATCTGTTCGACAAGATTTTCAAAATAGAACATGTCCTATTCCTTACATCTAGACTTATGTATTTGATTCAAGAAATAGTAGCCTTCACACATAAGATTTGCATGTACATCTTAGTTTTAATTGGTGTTGTACTGCAAAATCCTACCTTTACCCGCTTGTTTTAATGGGTTTAAGGGGAAACGGTATGCTATAACAAACAAAACGTATAACTGAATGACGGTAAACCTACATTCCAATAATAAATATTTCATTCAGCCAGCAGCATATAAATAATGCACATTATAAACTTGCACACTAGGAATGCTCGCAATTAGACAATTATTTCTAATGCAAAGCAGACAGGTAGTAAACCAGCAACGCCTAACACTGTCAATTTGTTGCACATTTATTTTCCTATAAAGAAATTTGTCTAAGAACAGGCTATGAGAAAATATATTCTGTATTGATGGCAAAAGAAAAAATGAACATTCCTCACACCTAGGAGGTTTTAAGTGAATGATGATACTATGTTGTTACTTGGCTATTAAAAGTCAGTATATACTTTGAAGATGTCGAATTTGAAAGTTCAAATTGTCAAGGCTTCTTTAAAGTACTCGTACTTTAAGCACATTTCACATCATTATGCTACTCATTATTAAACTAAATCAAGCCTATTATATAGCATATACATGATCTGACACCTTAATATTATTAAACTTTTAAACATAAGAAAGCAAAATTTGATTCAGTTAGTTATGAAGAACAGAACATACACTTTATTAGACTTATACACAAGTATATCATCTTAATACATATTAAGTTGTACAAAATTTCATCATTATTTATTGTAACTAATTATCAAGTATCTTTTAAACTAAACGAAAATTTCATATCCCTATTCACGTTTTGATGTTATGCGAAATATTTGGACATTTGTCCGAGTTGCAAATAAAGTGTTCAAGGTTTTATCTACCACAAAAAAAGTGTTGGGCTACTTGTCATTTTCTAAAAATGTCAGAAAAAGGAATAAACTATGATGACAAACAAACGCATTAGATCCATCAATTTCAAAAAAAAAATGTTACCAAATTAATTAACTATGATGATAAACAAACACATTAGATCCGTCAATGTTAAAGAAAATGTTTCCAAAGTAATAACTATGATGCTAAACAAACGCATTAGATCCATCAATTTAAAAAAAAATGTTACCAAAGTAATAAACCATGATGATAAAGAAACGCATTAGATCCATCAATTTTAAAAAAAAAGTTACCAAAGTAATAAACTATGATAATAAACAAACACATTAGATCCATCAATTTTTAAAAAAATGTTACCAAATTAATAAACTATGATGACAAACAAGTACATTAGATCCATCAATTTTTAAAAAAATGTTACCAAAGTAATAAACTATGATGACAAACAAATACATTATATTAGATCCATCAATTTAAAACAAAATGTTACCAAAGTAATAACTATGATGATAAACACACATATTAGATACATTACTTGTGAGGTTATCTGACTGAGCCCCATATGCTATGTTTTTTGGAAAAGAATAAATGAAAGTGAAAGTGAAAGGAAAGAAACTATGTTATTATTTTGTTAACTAAAAAATTGCTACCAACCTTCAAAAAGTCAAAGAGTACAAAAAAATTGCTACGTGATTGTAAAAGTTCAAAAAATAATGCGGACGTTATGTATCGGACATTTTTTCGACAAATAAACCTTAACATTTTTTGTGGATTGTTTGTGGTCAATAAAATTGTTTTACGAACTGACAAGCATGTCTAAGACAGTCAATAGGGCCCGTAAGTCTCGTTTACTTTCACTATCGATTTACCACTTCCGGGTACATCGGCAGACTTATTTACCGTTACGCATATAGGTAACCCGAAGAACTCGAGGGATATAGAAGTTAAATTTGTTTCGGTCCTCTTCAGATTTGAAAGAATGGATAGCACGGGTCAAAAAATGCAGGTAGGTCAATTATCTGACGGAAAAACGAGGGATTGATAGAGTTTAATAAAACTAGTTTATTTTCGGATAGTGACAATTGTTTCGGATGTTTTGTCAAGGTAGTGAATTCTAGTTGTTTGGCTTTTAGTATTGTTTTAAAACTACTGATGTGAGAAATTAATTCAAACCATTTTAACTTATTGAAATAAACAATGGAGAAACACTTTAATTCTAGTGTATCTAAGTTATACAAAATTCGGACATTGCACAGTAATTCGGATATTTTTTCCCTTCCATTTTATTCTTGTTCCTTTTTCAATTATATATACATGTTAATATGGTACCTATCAAATTATGATTGAATTAAAAATATAATATTTGATTAAACCATTTCAGATGTATAGACAAGGAGGTATATGACAAGTATAGAATATACAGTTGTTCAATATGGACCATTAATCAACTGTTTGCACTGCCTATGATCCTGAAATATCTATACATCAAAGGTAAATACATGTAAAATAATTGATTAATTTTTAGTTGAGATCGGAAAGATAAACAATTATCAAAATATATTAATAACTTTTGGATTTCACTGCATGATAATTGATAAGTAAATAAAACATTAAAAATAGTCATGTTTCACATTCAAGAAGATCAATATTTTTTACTGTTATATATTATGTGTTGTTGTTTATCTTTAATGTTTATTTACTTCAAATATGAAATTTTTCTGTCAATCATGACCAGCTTATTAAATGTAATGTAAATATCATTTCTAGTGTCTTACACTTGTAACAACATATTTATTGATTTTTCATTCTGCAGATAAAAAGGGAAAAGATGAAGGAGGATTTGTCCATGAAGACCTTTATTGCAACTACCATCTTCCAGTTCCTTAATTTGAGAATGATATCAGAGAACACAAAGTTACAGTGAAATATTAGTTTAATATAAGCCACTGAGAATAGTCAAATGTACTTTCCTGAAGAAGATGAATGACATCCAGCACAAAAATATTAATGTATAAAGAGTATGATTTTATGGTGTTTGACACTATGATCTTGTTAACATGTTAATGCCACAATGATAGAAACAGAGTAAAATATCCACATTTCATTGCAGTTTTAAGTATTAAAACTAGATACTCTATATATACCAAAGCTGATAACACACCAGAGAAAAGGTTTTTCATGGAATCACAGTATAGTCATATGACATTATGGACATTAAATGACTATGAAGTAAAGATTAGCAAAAATATTATATATCATGTACTACTAATATTGTGAGGTAATCATTGATAAGCTCACAAATTTGCATTCAAAGCTTTGATATCTTTAGCTGAACATTTTTCAATTAGAATATGATTTATAACTCTATGATAATGTGTTCATGTTAATTTTCAAAGTCTTTACATTTGTAAAAGGAAATATTCTTATTCTTGTATCAGTAGACATTCACAGTGTAAAGTTACATTGTCCAAATAACTAATAATAATTCCAAGTGCTTTCCTGAAGTTTTTCTTCCACTGGAAAATCAGTGTGATATACATTGTATATGCTAAGCAGTGCACTATAAATTGTGTAAAAATAAAAGTTTATTAAACTTATGAACTGTTTTTTGTTTCTACTATTTGGCATATATTTATAGCAGTGCTTAATCATAAAAGTTCATCTGCAAAATAAGTGTCACTGTGTACTTTAATTCTCTAACAGCAATGGCTAGATTGCTTGAATATGCAAGCATTGACTTTATTAAATACTATGAATGTCATTTGAATTTTGTCTGTCCTGAAATCAAAACAGACACTATCTAAATAATATTGATGAAAAGTTCTTGACAGCTCTTCAATGCCTACATTTACACATATGTACATGGACAGAAGTTAAAAGCATTGTTTGGTGTTTTTTGTTGTTGTTTTGTTTGAAGCATTGGCAATTTTGAAACAGTTCCAATGGGTATATTAATGTATCAGTGATGTAATTGTTTTGTATCAAGTGCAAACCCTAAGTTTTGCATGTATTGTATTGATAATTCACTTTTGGTCAAATGTCAACAGGTTCAATACATTATAAAACAGGTAATTTGAAACCCAAAGAAGTATATGGTATGTAATAACTACCCCTCTGATACTAAAATCTTCAAGGAATGCAGAATTGCAAGTCTTCTCCAATTAAGAGAGAGACTTGGGCTTACAAGGGCTAGCAAGCTAGTGTTTTGCTACAGAATACTCAACACAGATGAATTGCATTAATATTGTTTACTCTGGTATTACTACCTGCCATGTACAATGCAAATCATGGCTTTTCTAAGAGCAGTGAAAGGCTATAACTGGAAGAAATTTTACACATCTTGCCTCAGAAACAAGTTTTTCTTTGAGATGATTTTTATGATATTTAAATAATGGTTAAAGATTACATTACTTTTACAATTGCAGTGATCGTGGTGATAATATGAAATGAAACTCAATCAAGATAGAAACATTTTGATACTGAATATTAATCTTTTTACCATTCCTGTTACTTTACAAGTCTATTTTTAACAAATTTATGTTTTGAAACTACATGATGCCTGGTTGAAACTGTTTTGGGCAGCCATTTGCAGAAGATAAATTATCTTTGAATAATTAAGTTAATACAAAGTTACAAATGAAAGGTTATTTATTTCTAACAAAGACAGGTTATTTATTTCTTACAAAGACAGATATTTTGTTTATCATTTTTACACTGACATATATCTTTGAAGTGTCTTCAACCTTAGTTTTTATTAGAATACAAACATTCAGTCAGACAGTTTACACAAGACATGGAGCTTTAAGAAGCTTTAATTCAGTCAAAATCTGTAATGGACTGCCATGTCTCTACCACTATGTACTCCAAGACTGTGTATGGACATTTCCTTTCAACTATGCCTGGTGGTATCACTATTTGATTTCTAATCTGATGGTGAACACTCCAAAATAAATCAAGAGCCATGACAAGTACTCAAGATCCAACCATGAAATCACATACCTGTATATAAAGAAAATTTATCATGAGTTGAAAGCAATAATAATTGGTCAGCTATAAATTTCAATCATTTTCATATTGTAATGAATAGAAAATAATGTTGAAAAAGAAGAAACACTTCTTGGTGTCCTAGTTTTTGTAGATTTGCTTTGACAACTGATCTTTAAAAAATGTGATAGTGACTAAGTTCTTTAAACCATTTACTGAACATGATTAAACTAAAAAATATGACCTACTTACTTGAGAAAATTACTTTAAACAGTATTTAACATGAATTAACTACATATGCCATACTGTTTGTTTATTTAGCTACACTGTAATTATTTACAAAAACGAGAACATTGTATGTTATACAATAATATTTATTTTTCATTAATGTAGTTTAAGTAGCTTTAAGTATATATTTCTTACCAAAACGATTTTACAGCAGAACATGCATGTGTATTTACATCGGATACCAGTTGACGTCTTTCATCTCACCACTTTCCTCAGTCTAAATATCTACAGGAGCAATTTAAAATATTGAACATTGAATTTTATGACAATCTAAATTGGTTATATACAGCTTGACTGTTTGTGCTTTATAAAGATAATAATTATAAATAAATAATATTTTCAGTTGGAAGAAAATATATTCAACTAAAACACACTGATAATCATATTGAAACGTTTATCCGAAATATGCGCTGTCCGAAATTTCTAAACATTATATACTTCTGAGAGATAATCAGGTAGCGCTATAGAAAATAGATAAAATCAAATTCACCAGTCTGGTGTCAGGTGCGAATGATGTTGTATCAAAAAACAAATTTATTTGATTTACATGGAAATGAAAATATTACAACATTTATTGGGATAAACTGAATTTGAAATGACACACCCACCTGAAGATTATACGAAGTTGTCTTTCATTGATACTTGTTCACAAGATGAGACCATTTGCATTTCGTTACAAAACAAAAAACTCTGCCAATTTCCACATATCATTTGCTTTTCCATGTAAGTTTTACTTTCCCACCGGCATACAAGTATTACCCAATATAGATAAGCAATGTTGTTGATATTTGTTTGTACCCGGAAGTGCAAAATATCGTGAAATCTCGTAAGTCACATGACGAGACTTACATACCCTATTCATAACATTGGACAGAAGAGAGTGCCGCTGTTTTCCCCCACTTATCAGGTTATTTATAATCCTTTAAGCATTTTAATTAGATATATGGCATCTATCAAAATAAATGGTGTGGCTTCGGTACGCACCTGATACATTCAATTAGCAGTAAGTATAATTAAGGATAAACATTTCGAACATTTTTATGTCTTCTCAAATTTATCATTTATCAAGAAGCTCTTAGTTCTTTTCTTCTAAAAAGGCATGTCATTGTCCAGTTAAGTGTTACCTATTGGAAATGATTCAAAATTATTAAACTCACGTCCTAACAGTCTCCTTGTTCTCGATAAATTTATCAAATTAAAATTTGATCAAATTAATGTCATACCATGCAATTTTAAGACATATCTTAAAAGCACATTATATATACGTATATAAATACTTAGCAGAATACAGTTATAACAAATGGTAAGTTTTGGACATGTTCCTCAGAAGAAATTTAAAAAAAGGAAGCAATAAAAAAACGAAACTATGAAAGAATAGCTACTTTGAATGTCTTTTATTTCTTTTATTTAAAATTGGAATGTTGTTCTTTTCATCATTGTTGTATTCGACCTAAAATATGACAGAAATTGTCAATAATAATGATTTCTGACGTAACCGGATGTTTATATTTCTATGTAATTATATTCCTTGTCATTTGAATGTTAATGTATTTTGTTCAAGTATATGTACTATTTTTCTTCATTGAGATAAAAAGATATCAAACAAATGTAGCAGTTTACATTTTATCTCATTAATACCATTGCAATAAAGCATTTATCAACTGACTTACGGAGGTAATTTCACCTGTAATTGATTAGTTTAATTTAACACTCTAACGAACTATTTAACTACCATTTCCTATTTCTCAATATTAACTTATTTTGTTAGTGAATAGGCAAAATATAATGTTGAAACGGTCAGTACAAACAACTTTGCAAGCTAAACACAAAGTTCCATACACATTTTGACCAGTCATTCTTGCGTCTTCGATGTGTTTACAAAATCAACAACAACTGAAAGAGGTATTTCAACAATTAAATGCTTCGTGTCTAAGTTGAATACTATTGGGTACTAATGTAATTTATGGGATACCGCTTCCTGTTTGTCTGTTACGTAACTTGCTATTTTAGCATCACGTTTTCACATAATTTCATATATAAGAGATCACGTGGTAAAGACATTTTTTTCTTGTTTGCTAGAAATATTTTCAAGTTCAAGGTTCAAAGTTCGAGCAAAAGAAAATGAAATAATTAAAAAGTAAGTATGGATTTTGAATACGCACAATAATATAAATAAATATTTAATTCAGCTTGCAGGGTATAGATAATGGCAATCATAAACAGTAGAAATGTCTAAATGCACTAAATGTAATTATCCAAATATTTTTCATGAAAAGTAGACAGACAGTAAATCAGGCACACCTTTCATTGTTAATTTGTTACACTTATTTCTTTCAGTTAGTTATTAATCTCAGAATAAGTTTTAACAAGTAGGTATACATTATTTTCATGAGTACATGTATACATGTTTCTTTAAATTAAAAAAATAATTCGATATTTAAATAAGTAAATTCTATTATTAAAAAGATAATAAAGATTGCAAAAATACATTGCTTAATTGTCAAGTATGATTGGATTATATTATGTGATCAAAAATGAACAATGTGCATTGAAAATTAGTTTATTAACATGTACAAGTACATGTATTTACGGTTCCTAGAATATCACAGAAATATTGAACTACGATTTAATGTTGTATATTGATATTTGGACACATTCGAAATATAAAAAAACGATAATTTCTATTACTTTTTATCCTACCACAAGTTGGCCTACTTGTCTAAATTAAAAAAAAAACATTATGAAATAAAACATATCATTCGTTTGTCAACTCACATTAGAAGAAGGTTCACTTACTGGAATTAAAGATAATGCAAATCAAGTGTAAACGTGCCTCTATATAATGCACGTGTCATGTATCGACACGTGTATCCGACAAACATTTTTTACAGTGTTAATGGAACTGTGATATTAATCTGAGAGTAAAATTGTGTGATCCGACTGTTAAGAATATAATCATTTAACAACTAGAAACTTTTATTTATCTTTTTTGTTGCCATCATGGGCCATGTGAGTTTTTC